TGTTTCTGTTTCCAGATCGTGTTTCTGTCCTTCTGCCTCGTTCTCTCCCCCAGTATCCGCTCACCTGGGAGCGTAGAGCCACAGCTAGAACCCAAAGGTGAGTGCCCAGATGGGGACTGAGGTGTGGGTTCAGGTGAAGCGCTGCCCTGCAGATCACAGCACCTTCCTCAGAAACGGCCTGAACTCTGAGGCACCTCCAACTCAGCAGCCCCTTGCCTGGGGTGGCCACTAGGTTTGGCTTTGCTGTCTCACCCAAGCTGTGGACTCTTATCTCAGCCCTGTTGCAGAGGGCTGCCTGGGAGCAGGGCCCTGGGCCAGGGGCGGTGCAAGGATTGGAGAGATCCGGTCTCTCTTGGAGCACAAGCTGTGCTTGTGCCTGGCAGCTGTGCAGCATCCTCTCCCCGCCTCCCCTGGGAGGAGGAAGCCCTAGTTGAACAGTTTGTCCTCGCTCCTGGGCTCTGTGGTGGCTCTGTGCTTGGAGCTGGAGGGTTGGAGGCTGGAAATTACAGAGCTGGCTCTACCTCTCTTACAGTGCTGTCACGGCAAATCCGCGAGTTCCCGAGCCAGGGAGCACCTGATGTGCAGCAGGATGCTGAACTGGAAGGCTTCAGCCTAGAGCCTGGGGACTCCTCACTGTCAGGCAATCTCAGTCAGTCATGGGAAGAGGGGCAGAGTCCACTTGACCCCGATCCCATACCTTTCAACAGCAACTCGTCCTCTGACCCCCCGGCAGCAGCAGGCTCCGAGCTGGGACTGCCCCAGAGTGACCCCTTGCCGGCAGCGGTGCTGGTGCCATGGAAAGCCAAGGGTCAGGAGTGGGTGGAACACCCTGACAGAGTTCTCATCCAGCAGCACCATGCCAACGAGATGTGACCACTGCTGCTTCCTTGGGGTGATGCTGAGCACCCCATGGGGCAGGGACAGAGCTGCATTAACATAATCTGTCCAAGCAGTTTCTTCTGAATACTCTCCAAATTGGCAGTACCTCGGAGGATTTACCAGGGAGGAATCATTCTGACACCATAGCAGGACTCCATCTGAGACAGGACAGGAAATTCTGGAAACTTCATTATGGCTGCTGATGTGACTTGCAGCCTGGAGTGCATCTGGTGGCTTGTGGGGATGGGCTGTGGTGTGGAGGGTGAAGGTGGTCGGGCCTGAGGCGCCTGTGCTTGGTATGACTGGATGCAGTTCATGATGGAGGCCACTGCCCTGCTTTTTCCCTGCCCAGGTGGAGATGAACAGGCACTTCTTTACTCTGTGTGGTGTCTGCATGCATCTGTCCCATGTCCCTTCCCCTTAATCCTGCAGTGTTGCCTAATTTCTAAGTAGTGAGGTCGTGAGTTGACCTTCAGTGCCCTCACAGGGAGTGGTCCTGCCTGCCACTGTGACAGACCCAGTGTGTCGCCTGTTCCTGCTAGCTTTTGAGCCATGGCCACAGCTCCCAGCCTGGCTAGAGAAGGTAATGTGGAGTCCTTCCTGAGCCATGTGTGCTGTTTGCCGACTGTAAGGGCTGAGCCTTTCATCTGCTGCAGGCTTCTGGGCCTCAGGGAGCTGGCACACCTTGAGCCAGACTGCTGAGGCAGCATGGATGGAGAGCAGCAGAGATGCTTGCTCTTCTGAAGGCTTTCCTGGCCACGGTATGGTTTCAAAGCCATGTCCTCGTGTGCCCAAGCCTTGCTGTGCTCGCTGGTGATGCAGTGGACTGGTTCCTGTTGCTCCCCACGGCTGAGCAGAAACACTTTGAGCTGGTGAACTGCACCTTTCCTGAAGTGAAGCTTAGATCAATCTGTAGATCAATCTCATCCAACTTCAGGACATTTCATAAAGTCACATAGAATGGTTTGTGCTGGAGGGGACTGGTAAAGGTCATCTAGTCAAGTTCCCCCTGCAATAAACAGGTACATCTTCAACTGGATCAGAATAATAATAATACCTTCCTTATTAATAAAGTCTAAATAAATACTAATGGTGTGTGACTGTGTCCTCTGTGCTTGTTCTGGTGAGGTGCTGGGCTGCTGGGTGAAGGCTGAGGACTGCAGCTGGGGCTGGGGGCCTTGTGGGAGGAACCCAAGGGAGGCTGCAGTGATCACTGTAACAGCCCCTGAGGCAGAATGCGTGATGCATTCCCTTCCCGTGGCTGTGCAGAGGGGCTTGTTGAGGCACGGCGCAGGTTTGCAGGGCTGTTGCTCTGCTCTCACCCCCCTTCAAGGGTGCAAAAACACTCTTTTGGAGAGAAGTGTGTGTGGTGAGCAGTTGCCCACGGCGCACACCCGAGCCTGCAGCGCCGCGGAAGCAGCAGCTTCCCCGGTAAGGAAGCGCGGGGAGCCGGTGCTGGTATCAACCCCCACTGCTGCTTTCGTAACGGGGAGCTGCACAATCGCAGGAAGTGGAGCAGAGCCAGGGTGCTGCAACAGCCCTGTCCCCTCGGCCGCCCGGGGCCACTGGGAAGGCCCTGCCTGCTGTGGGGTTGCTAAATCCGGGCTGAGTCCTGGGTCTGGTTGGGGTCGCTGGGTCCATGGGAGGCACTAGGAGACCCCGAGGTCAGGCTGTGGAGCCCAGTGTGGGGGCTGGGAGCATTGAAGCCCCCAAGGCTGTGGGTGAATGAAGCTCCACACTTGCAGCCCCCTTTGGAAGCAGAGAACGTTCATGCTGGCAAACGAGATACTAAACTGAACGTTTTGTATCTGCCTGGGGAGGAGAGACTCCCCCAGGGATCTCAGGACAGGCAGCAGCAGGGTTTCAACAGTGTCAGGTCACAGTTCAGTACCCTGCCTAGGGCTGGCACCCCTCAAGCATCTTCAGGAAACCACCAGCAGCTGTGCATGGCATCAGGAAGGTTTAGGACCCCATCCTCACTTTAGTTTCACTTTTTGCAGTTCAAGGCCAGGGTGAGTAATGCCACTGGTGTCACATGGGGTCCCTGGCCCAGAGCTAATTGATATTGAATGAGTCATCGGAAGTAATAACATGGTGCTGTTGCCAGCAAAGCAAGGAGCAGCCTCTGGAGCTGGTGTCTGCTTGGGAGTGATGGGATCAGTACAGCTCTGCATCAGTCTGGCTTGCTTGGCCAAGTATCAGGAAGGGAGAGAGCTCTGGGAGAGGGGCCAGGGAGCCACGAGCTGGTAGTTTTAGGGATGGCTGGTCCATGGTCTCAGCCCACAGTGACTGAGGTCTGCTATGTTTCTTTGCTTTCTGTGTTCTTGTGCTGGCCCCACAGCGAGCAGCTCTGAGCTGGTGAGAGGAAGGAAGCCCAGCCTGGTCCTCATGCCTTGGGTTAAAGGACAGCAATGATAAAAGTGCCCATAATGAGCTCTTCATCCAAGGATCTTTGTACATCAAATAGAGGAGCAAGAGGCACCTGATATTCCTGCCACCCTCCTCCTCCACCTTGCTGCAGATGATCCATCTTTTTTCCTTGCAGGCTGCAGGGATCAGAGCATAGGATGCACACAAACTCTGACTCAGGTCAGTGTCATGGTCCCTGCTTACCTCCCCTGCTGCGTTCCTTCTGTTAGGCCCAAGGTGAGCCTGTATCTCACTCATGTCCTGGCAGGTGTCTGTGTCTGCATTGTGAGAGCACACTGATGTGTGCTGGAAACACGAGCCCTTCAGAGCAAAATATTCTGCTCAGCCCTTGCCAAGTCCCATATGGGTGTTGCCAAATGGCTCTTTTTTGCTTGGTGACTCCTCGAGTGTTGGTCGTGCCACCTCATTTCCACGGTAGTGATGTATTTTTGGATATATTGAAAACTGTGAAAACATGAAATGAAATTTGCTTCCTATTGCCAGGGAAGGCCTGGGCTGTATAGGCAATACAAAACACTTCCCGATCATGGCTTTAAAGGAGTCAGGTTTCTCCCCTATTTTAAATGAATCAGGATTTCTCGTAGAGGTAGGAATTTCAGTCAGTAGCAGAAATAAGACATACCCTTCTTTTTACAGGAAATCTAAACCCTGTGTCAGCATCAATCCTATTTTTATCCACTAGCACCAGCTGCTGGATATTGGTGGAAACAGAAAAACTAGCAGAAATATGAAAACTGGTTTAAAAAGCAGATGGAAATACATCAGTGGAGGCACCACCTCCCTCCAGCTCCCACAGCTGGGCACCTCAGCCCTGAGCCTGCTGGACCCCCAGGTCCAACCGTCACCAGGGAGTTCTGCTGGGAACATTTTGTCAAGCTGTCTAAGGCAGACAGCAGAGGGCTGTGAAGCCCAAAAGATTCCAGGCAGCACCAGATGCACCCTTCCCCGCTCTTTCCCTGGTTATGCTTGGACATCAGGGGCTTGGCTGGAGACCCCCACCCGTGCATTGCTCAGAGGACACAGCCGTGCTGAGGGGTCTCGTGGGACAGGGCATTTGGGAGCTTTCCCCAGTCCCGGAATGGGAAGGTAGCTGGCAGCCGTCCAGCGCTGCGCATCCGCCGGCGCTGGGAACGGGAGGCTGTCGGTTCTGCAAAAGCCCTTTGCAACCGCCCCGGGCGTTCGGGTACCCGAGAAACTTCCTCTGCTCTGCTCTGCTCTGCTCTGCTCTGCTCTGCTCTGCTCTGCTCTGCTCACACGGGGAAGGCTCTGCCTGGAGCCTGCCCTGCAGCCCTGGGACACGCCGGCCACGGCAGCACACCGAGGCTGCACCTTATCCTGCTGCCCGGTCACAGCCCGGTTTGTTCCCCATCGCTGGGGACATCTGGGAGCGACCCCGAGGAGCGTGTTACCCACAGCACAGCAGCAGGTTTGCAGGCACAGTACTGGTGCACAGCGGCAGGGAGGAGACATGGGACAGCCCCCATCCCCGGGGACCCTGCTACCCTCAGCCGTGCGGCTCGAAGGGAAAGCGGGGTGGCTGTGGGGCGAGACAAACCCCACAGGTTTGAGGCAAGGCAGAAAACAGAGCCAAGCCCTGCATCCCCACGGAAACCCTTTATTTTGCATCTTTATTTTGAAGTTGCCTGAGAAAGTGTGAACCTGTGGGCTGAGAGCTGCTCAAGTGCAGGGCGTCAGTGCGAGCAGAGCCTGCCTGTGAGAACAACCAACTCCTTGCGGTACTGATCCTCCTGGATTTCCCCACTTGCAGTTATTTTATCCGTGTGAAGGTGCCGGCGCCAACCCTGCAGAAAAGACCAAATCACTGTTCTCACCGAGACGGGGTCACCTCTGCTGAGGAGGGTACAGAGGGGAAACCCAAGGGGAGGGTTGTGTTGACCACAGAGTGCTCGTTGAATGAGGTACTCCAGGCTCCAACAGCCTGTAGCCAAGGCTGCACCAGGTGCTGGCACCTTTTCCTCCTCTCCTGCTGCTGAGAATTGAAGGAGGCCCTTTCGATGGGGGAGATCTGCTGTGGCCAGACCCTATCCTGGGGTCACCCACCCTGAGGCAGATCTGGCATGAGGGGTTGACCATGTTACAGGGGTGCTCCTTAACCCCTGCTCAGCACCAGTGACAAACCCATTTAACACTCCCAGTCCTGTCATGCTTCATGACAGAGTATTTCTGCCTTCTCCAGCCTGGGGTGCAGGAGAGCTTGGCGCAGCAGTGGCTGGGATCCAGCACTCACCGGGTGGCTTTCCAGTCCTCAGCGGGGCTGTCGGTCGCCTCTCGCCAAAGCCACAGGACATGCAGGATCTCCTCCCCGTTGGTGCCTACATAACACTGCCCCAGGAAGACGGTTGTCTGGGCTGCCTCTGAATCTGGAAGGATTTGAAGTTGCATGAGTCAGGCAGTGATACACAAGGCCACTGCTCTGTGTCCTGCTGGCATCCCTGCTGCAGCGCAATGGCCCCCTTCCTGCCTACCTTGGAGCCGCCAGTGCACGGTGAAGGAGAAGGTGGGCTGTGGGACTAGCCCTGCATCTTGCTGGGACCCATGCAGTGGCACGGGGAGGATTTCGGAGTCACCAGTGGCAGGTCCTGGCAGGTAGGAACCAGAGAATCTGCCGTCCTCGCCGAGGGTGGACACGACCATCTGGCAGCCGGTGTCGCTCCGCCACGACCCGGAGAGGAGGCACTGCAAGGACAGCGTGAGGCTTGGGGTGCCTGGGCAGGCAGAGGGCATCCTGCTCCCAGCCCACCACCCTGGATCTTCCCTGGGATGCCTGCAGCAGTGGGTGATGTGCCACAGACCCAGTGTGCCACTGGCATGGCCACCTCAGTGGGAGTGCCACGCCTTAGCACTGACTGCCTTCAGCCCAGGTGCTGCAGATCCCCCTCATGCTAAATCAGCAGGTTCACTGCTTTCCCCACATGCCTGGTGGGAAAACAAGAATTCTCTAGGGCACGGCTCTGTTTGCCTGTTTCTGGATGATTCCCACAGCGAGGGGCATCATTTTGGAGCAATCCCTCTTTCCCAACCTCACTGCAGCTTCCCTCAGTGCTGCATAGTGCTGGTCCCACCAGCAGCCCGGCCCTGGCTCTCTCTTGAGCTCTGCAGCCCCAGCAGCATCTGGGGGGTCTAGCAGTGTGCCAGCGCCCTGTCCCCACCATCACCCATCCCCATACCTTCCTCTCTGCAGAGGTAATAGGTGCTGCCAGGGCCAGGGTGAGGATCAGGGCAAAGGCACTGCTCTCCATGGCCACACGGCTGCTGAGAGCCTGGCACAGCTCCCCCCAGCCCTGCAGCCCGGCCCCCTTTATAGGGCTGTAACCGGAGCCCCATCAGCACCAGGCTGGCAGCCCTAGGGTGAGTGGCTTGATGTCAGGGTGCCCGGGACAGGCAGGGAGGTGAGGAGGTCTGCATGACCTGGTCAGTGCTGGAGGAATGCAGGGATGAGCACGGTTTGCAGAGGGGAGGGTGCACAGGTGTTTTATGAGGCACTTACAGCAGCCTGGAAAACACCCATACCTTCCACGGGAATCTGCCTCCTGTGCATGCAGGATGCAGATTATCACCTGTTCAAACATTCACCCCCTTCCTGCTTTGCTGGTGCCACTTCCTGAGCAGGGTGTCACCCAGCTGGTGCCTGGCAGGGGCCAGCTGCAGCATCTGCAGAGCTGCACAGGACGGAAGACTCACCTTGGCTTCTGCTCTAGCAGCAATAACATTTCCCTGGTCTATTGTGTGTCAGCTGCTGACTGGGATGCTTTTGCTTTTACTTTTACTTTACTGGGAGTAGAGGAAGAAGTAACCACAGTGAGATACTGAGGCATCTCACATCAAGTGTGTTTGCTAAATGCACACAGCATGATAAGCAGCATTGTATTCACACCTCTTCCCTGTCTTTGCTGCTCTAAAGGGCCTTGGACAAAAATCTGCAACTTGCACCATCCCTGTGTTCCTGAGCCATGTCTTTCCTCTCTGTGATGTTTGGAGCAGTCATGGGGCTGTGGGCAACAGAAAATTCAGGTGGGATTCAGCTGCATCAACACATACTGTTTCCAGGAAAGCGGTATTTTGGGCACTGGATAGCAGCAGGGTTGCAGTGTGCACACTGGGCATGGGGGTGGCATCTGTCAGTGCCCACCATGAGCCCTGGCACACCCTGGCACCCTGCTGCTGCTGCTCAGCACATCTCCCTCTCATCCAGAGGGATGGGAAAACACCTCCCTCCTAACACATCCCTCCTCCTTGTTGCCTTTTTCTGTCCCATGCTCATGGGCTTATCAGAGGGGCTGGAGAAATCCCCTCACCCCAGGTGTTCTTTTGCTCTTGCCCTGGATGCCACGCTCTACTCCTCTGGCCACGCTCTACTCCTCTGGCCTGACACCAGCCCCACCCTTTCTACACTGTTTGGCAGGGACAAGTTGCCCTTTTAGGGGTGCCAGGGAAGTGGCAGGCACCCCTCCATGTCACAGCACCGTGCTCTGGCCTTGCTGGGGCTGAGCCAGGCTCAAAGGAATACTGCTGTCAACCCCAGGGCTGGAATATTTTTGTAACGCTTCTGCAAGAGGTTTCATCTTCACCCATGGATCTGCCAAAAACTTTGTGTGGAAAAGAGCTGACTAAGTTTGGCAAGTGTCCACAGAGGCAAATAGAGCAGCCCTGCTGAAATGCAGTGGCAGGGAAGGCTAAAATCCCTGGGTGTAACCCAGGGGGATGGTAAGGAATGAAATGGGATGGGGGCTTTAATTTGTGCACATTTTATGTGGGGTGCCCTACAGCACAAAGGAAGCACTGAACCACTATCTCACCTCCACTGATAATCATGTCTGCATCACCCAACCCTACAGAGCACAGAAGTACTGGAAAGGGTCTGGTGGGGATGGATATGAGACAGTGTATGGAAATCGGCTGGATTCAGGATGCTGCTGCCAGCTCTGCCACCATCAAGCAGGCGAGGAGCGATGACTAAGGGTGGAAGTATGGGTTAAGATAAGGTGGGAAATGAGCCCAGGGAGGTGGATGAATGGGATCAGGGAGAGATGCAGGTGTCCCCGGGGAAGGGCAATGGTAAGCCTTCACCTCAGCAGGGGTATCCATGGGGACAGAAGGGGTAGCAAGGGCAGACTTATAAAAGAGGCAACTACACTGGATGGTTTTTAAGTTTTATTTTCATCTGAGAGGCAGGTTTTGCTTGCCTTGTTGGGGGGGCCAGGCTGCAGCCAGATCATCCCATCATGGGGCTGGTGAAGACACATCCTCACAGAATGGGGACAAGCTCAGCAGGATCTTTCCTTTTGTGGTGCGTTTTCGTGTGAAGACATTTCTGCCCACCCTGTGAGAAGTTGAGAGTTCCCCGTGGGACAACCCAACGACTCTGCCCACTCAGGTCTGCCAGTGCTGACAGGTGACGGGGTGTCCCTAAATGCCCTCCAGCTTTCCTCAAGCAGCTGCCAGGTGTCCCCGGGCAGGGCAAACCCTTTGGCAGGACACAATGGCATCCCTACTGCCAGCCCACACTGGAGCTCCCAGGGGTTCTCCCCTTGCTAAGAGGGCTGCTCATCCTCAAGGGTCCTAGAGAGGGTCCCTCTATGGGACTGCTGCCCCCCACGTCCCCACACTACCTCGTGGCTTTCCAGTCCTCCTTGAGGGACCCGACAGCTTCACGCAGCAGCCACGTAGTGGTCAGTGTTTCCTTTCCACCTGAATCCACAAAGCACTGCCCCGCGAAGGCGGTGGTGGCATCTGGGAGGAAACACTTGTTGGGAGATCTGTGGGGAAACTGGCTGCTCCCCCTTCCCCGCTGTCCTTCCAGAGGCAGCTGTGTTCCCCCTCCAATGCCACACCCCCACCCAAACCACGCTGGGCTGTGGGGGGTCCTGCCGGGCGTCCTGCCCTTCCCCTGTGATTCCCTCAGACAAGGCAAGGTCTGTATCACCTAATGGGATCTGAACCCACTGTGCGCACCCCGAGGCATCCGGCCGGGATGGGGACAAAGATGATGGGTGAGGAGGAGCTGCTCCGTGCGAGCTCAGCACTGCCCCTTAGCCCCACACAGCTTAGCTACACCAAAACATCACCCAGCAGAATTCCTGCAAAAGGGAATTCCTGCTGGCTGCCTACGTGGCTCTGAGTGACACTGCCGTACCATCCCCAGGTGACCCAGCACTTACTGGAGAACTTGTCCCAGCGCACTGTGAAGGCGAAGGTGGGCCAGCCCCCCTCGCCAGGCTGCTGCTGGATGCCCTTCAGGGGGGAGATGTGGGCACAGCCACCAGAGAGGGTAACCCGTGTGAGGTATTTTCCCTGGAAGTCCCCGTTGTCCCTCAATGCTGAAATCTCCATCAGTGAGTCCTGCTCGTTCCTCCACAGCCCGCTGAGCTGGCACTGAAGTGATAGAGCCACACCCTTTCAGTCCCCACACACAGCACGCAGGGGGACCCCATCCCTTCTGCTGCCCCAAAGCTGCAGCCACAAGCCCTGCTGCGGTTGCAGCTGCAGGGCATGGCTCTCCCTGACCCCATTTTGGGGAAATGCTCCCCCAGGGGGCTTCTGAATGCTGTGTGAGTGGTGGAGCAAGGCCAGTATGTCCCAGCCTGCTGGCAAGCACTGTATGCTCACACAGACCCTGTGAGAAGGACTGCCCTGTGTGCTGTACCCCTGGGCACAGACCCCAAGGCAGGGGTGCTCAGGGCACAGTACACCCAGACACAGACCCTATGGGAAGCAATTCCCTGTGCACTGTATCCCTGGGCACAGCCCCTGTGGAAGGGGTGCCCCAAGCGTGCTTCCCAAGGCACATACCCTATGGGAGGGCACGTCCCATGCGTGGCGTCCTAGACACATATTCCATGAGAGGATGCTCCATGCATAATGCCCTGGACACACAGCCCATGGGACAGGGTGCCCCATGCATGGTGCCCCAGGACAAATATCCTATGGGAGACGTTGTCCCGTGTGTGGTGCCCTAGACATTTATCCCATGACAGAGGATGCTCCATGTATGGTGCCCCAGACCCAGATCCCATGGGAAGGGGAGGGAGTGCCCTGTGGGAGTAAAGCTTCCTGTAACAGGTGGGGAGTTGACCCAGAGATACCCTGCTCACTTCCCGGACCAGATGCTTGCAGAGCTCTCCTGCCTGTCCAAGCCTAACCTGGCACTTAAGAGAGAACCTCTGGCTGCCCAGGCTGCATCCCAGAGTCACATCTGCCATGCTCCCATTGTCACCCCTGTTCGTACCTTCCTCTCTGCGGGGGCAACATGCGCTGCCACGACCAGGGTGAGGACCAGGATGAAAGTGCCCCTCTCCATCCTTGCAGGGCTGTGAAGTGCCTGGCACAGCTTCCTCCGGTGCCCTGCATCCCAATCCCTTTATAGGGCTGTAACTGGATCCCTGGGGGCAGCGGGCTGGCAGCCGGTGGGGGGCGAGTGGCTCGATGTCAGCGTGCCCAGGCCAGGTGAGGAGAGAGGGGAGGAGGTCTGTATGACCTGGGGATGAGCACGGCTGCTCAGAGAGGCAAGGACAGAGGGATGATTTATATATCCACTGGCCAGGAGGATCTGCCAACCCATTCCTTGCTCGGTGTTGGGAGTTGTGGGAGCAGGCACAGCCTGACGCTGTCCCACTGCCACTGACCCACTGCTGCCACCCCAACAAGGGGCTGCAGCAAACACAGTCTGACCAGCTCCGTGCCACTGCACTGAAGGGTGATGTGTCTGCCCAGAGGGAAACATCCCCGTGACCATCCCCTCCTGCATTATAAGTGTCTGCTGCTCTTTCTAAGCTGTTTTTCCTCCTGGCTGTGCTGGGCTTTCCTTGAGTCTGGGAGCTGTGACTGTGACTGCAGCAGGAACTGTTGAGCTAATCCCTCTTCTACATGCAGAAGGACTTTTCTGAAAGATACGTAGATGTTAAAATTTGCTTGTCCCTGTGGGAGGGGACGCCCTGCGCATGGTGGCTCTGTAGACACCGTGGAAGGCAATGCCACATCCATGGTGGTCTGAGGCTGGGCAGGGCCCTGTCTGAGCCCTCCCAATGGGTCCCTAATGGTATGAGACTGTGCTGGGGACGTGCAGGTGGCTAGGGGTACTCAAACTGCCTGGCCTTTGCATAGGGACACAGAACAGACACATCCTCTAAGATGTCGCTCCAATCAGGTGAATGTGTCACCGCCAATGCTGCAGGGGAAGACAGAATTGGCATCTGGCTGCATCCAGATCAGGATAAACCTCTGTGGTCCCTGTTCAGTACAGGGAGAGGAAGGCTGCTCTCTTCC